TCGGAACCTGTACGGTCCATTTATCAGGCAAACAAAAGTGATGAACTGATGAAGGGACCAGACAGGTTCCGAAAACGTGATATGGCCTGCTAGAATGAATAAAAGGATTTCGTTTTGAAGCAAACTTGGAGTTGACCATTTATTCTGTTTTGAAAGTATTTGGCTGTGCCATACGCGGCCACTTCAGCACCCACCCACCACCCTAAGATGGGGCTACTGATGTGAAGGGAGGGGGTTCCTAATTTGAAGGATGGACGTGTTTTTGCTTGGTACCCCCTCCCTTACATTTTAAACTGGGGTGTCTTGAGATGTTGCATACTTTTTAAGGGTGCTGTGAGTGAAAAAAGGTTGATAACCACCAACTGTCTTATTGCTACATATCTGGTATCCTTTCTCTAATAAAACAAAAGAAGAACACTTCCTGGTTCCTGTGAGAAACACCGGAGGCTCCTTGCACCCATACAGCAGTAGACCCGCAATGAGCACCTTTCAACTCCTCTGCTCCTAGGTCTTCACTGTCTGATGACCACTATCACAGGGACTAGAACTCCAGGAAATCCCAAAATTTGAGAACAGGACTAGAGTGTAAATGTTCCAATGGGGACATCGGTTCCAGTGCCAATTGTCATTTCTTCTTTCCGGTGACAGCTTTCATCCATTTGCGTCTACATGACAGACAGTCAAGGTAGGTTTCCCTCAATGAGCACCATCAACTCCTCTGTTCTTCAGTTTTCACGGCCTGATGACATCTATCACAGGGACTAAAAATCCAGGAAATCCAAAAATTTGAGAACAGGAATAGAGTGTAAATCTTCCAATGGGAACGTGTGTTCCAGTGCCAAATGTTATCCTGTTTTTCCAGTGACAGCTTTAATTTCCTTTTGTGTTTACATGACAGAAAGTTAAGGTAAGTTTCCACAATGAGAAATAATCCTTTATCCATTTCCTACTCTAACCAAAAAAAAGTTTTTGCTTTGGCTATACTTCACGCTGTGTAGCTGGGTCACCTCCCCAACCCCAGCCTGTGATTGGGCCATAAGATGAATGAGGGAACAGCAGCAGACCAGTGAGGTTATCTTTAAAGATCCTGCTCTTTGCTCTACCAATCTGAGTTCTGTCGTGTGAAGGATTATAAGAAGCGGATATCCAGATAGATTCAGGGATTTTTATTGGCTACATTCCAAAAATATATTTTGTTTTTCAATAATACATCAACTGAATTAATTGGTGTTTATATGTCTGAAGTTCAGTGATATTTTGATGATTTGTTGCAGCTATTTGTGGATTTTATAGGCACAGGTATTTATAATGTTTATTCCAGGTTAATTATGATCTGCTGTGCTGAGTTCCCGGGTCTGTACACCTGCTGTTCACACTATGAGGATTTCCCATCATCCCTGTGCTGAGTTCCTGGGTCTGTACACCTGCTGTGCCCATTATGAGGAGCTCCCATCATCCCTGTGCTGAGTTCCCGGGTCTGTACACCTGCTGTTCCCATTATGAGGAGCTCCCATCATCCCTGTGCTGAGTTCCTGGGTCTGTACACCTGCTGTGTCCATTATGAGGGGTTTCCACCTTCCCTGTGCTGAGTTCCTGGGTCTGCACACCTGCTGTGCCCATGTTATGGAGAATGTGACATTAAGAGCTGGAACACACAAAGGTTGGGGAGAACACCCAAGACTCCCAGGTGAACAGGAGCAGAATCATTGGGAATTACGACAGGGAGATCTTGCCTTTGGAGTACCCAAGACACTCAGGAAGCCCGGAGCTGAGCCAACCCATCAAGCTCTATTATTATGAATTGTATTATCATTAATAAAGCAGAAGTACATATCATTGGTGCGGGTGAGCATTTGCCTCAATCTGTGGTTATATTAGCAGATCATGGCATGTACCTACCTCCCTCTATGTCATCCTCCAGCAATCATGATCCAGGCACCTATCACCAGGATGTCCTCCACCACTACCATCTCCACCACCAATTCTTCTGCATCCCATGGCAGTTCTCTGCGGTCTCTGAGGGGCCACTGATGACGTAACGCCTGAACATGCATTTGCATTGTCCCTGGCTCCTGAGCTGAGGGTGTACATTGCACGGCGCATTCACCATACGGCATACACAGAAAATAAAAATGTGCTATGGGAAAATAGAATGACATTTTTTGGCAGAAGAGACTTTGCGTGTCCCCTCTGCCAAAAATCGCCACTACCCTGAAAGATTTTATATTTAGAATTTAATTCCGCCTTCAATTGATGTCTGGCGACCATATGGATGGTGTTTTTCTATTTGGGTCTTCAGTTTTTCTTCATGGTCATATCTTCTGTGACTGGCTCTACCCAAATTAAAATGCCACTTTTTCCTAGACCAGGGGTGACCAAAACTCCGGCCCCCCAGCTGTGGTGAAACCACAAATCCCATCAAGTATCTGCCTCTGGGAGTCATGCCTGTGGCTGTCAGAGTCCTGCACTGTCTAATGGGGATATGTAGTTTCACTACAGCTGGGGGGCCAAACTTTGGCCAAACTTGAGGCAGCATCTCTTTGGTTCACGTGGGTGGGACTGCAGGCAGAGCGGCATATTTGCAGTGTGCTTGCTGCCCCCTTTCCCGCCAGAGCATCTCGGGTTGCTAAGAGCTGGGTGGGGAGATGTGTAAGGGCCATATACATCATTCCCCAGCTCTTAGCAATCTGGAAGACTCTGGCCGGCGTTCCACCCACCTCCTGGTAACCTGTAAGGCCAGAGCCGGGCCCCCCCACCCCGGTGGAACGTGCACCACCAGCATCACTTCCCTAATCCCCCCCAAAAAAAGTACCTTCTATACCTACCCCCCCTCACCTCATGTGGCAAAAAGGCTAGAGATGCGCCCAGGGCCGGATTTACTCTGTCTGTTGCCCCAATGCCAGGTTCCTCAATGCGCCCCCCCCCCACCCCGGATATAGGCCACATATAAGTGATCTCAGCAACATCGCCGAGACCACTTGTACAAAACAAGCAGCGGCTTGCCTGCTGTACTTTTAGCCCTGCTTGCCCAAAGCAGGGCTAAATGTAGAAGACTACTACCCGCCCAGCGCCCAAAACTGCATGTCCCGGGCATCGGGAGATAGGAATTCCACACCCCTGCTGCCCCTCTACTCCCTGCTGTTCCCTGGTGGCCACAGATGTGTCTATAAACGACTGATATTTATGCAATTGATCCAATACATATCGATGGCGATCGAGAGACCAAAGAGTAAACTTCAGTCAATGCACCATAAATACAAAGGCAGCTTTCCATCAATCTGCCGCAAAAAACGGTTGCAATTGATCAATGTTCGATCGCATTACATATGCGATCTCCAATTAGGCGGATCGGAAATTTTAAAAAAGGGCCGAAAGTCGGACGACCGATTTTTGATCCATCTGCCCCGATTGACCCATACCGATCAAAACTAGTACAACAGGTTGAAGGACGATCATGAGCGGCCATGTCCAGAAAAAGATCGCGTGCCATTAATCGGTTCGCAGATGGATCTACACTGAGTGTCCAGATTATTATGACCACCCCATCAGTACTTGGTTGGGCCACGAGATGACTTCGTTGGTCCGCCTTGTGACTCCACGAGATGAAGAAAGGTGATGCGAGGAATCTGACACTGCACTGTTGCCCTTCTGTTGTCTTGTACCAGTCTTGCCCCTCCCCCTTTCTGCCCTAACATTGACAAGTCGCTGACGGCCACAATTCGCACGTTCAGACCCAGATTTTCAGCTGACAGTCCGGTCTTTAAACACTTTAACAACAGCTGCTCTTGAACATTTAACGAATTCTGCTGTTTTGCTGATACTCGCTCCATGGCTCCGAGCGCCAACAATCATCCCACATTCAAAGGCTGTTAAATCGCATTGTTTCCCAGTATCTTCAGAAACAAATCACTTCTACTGTCGTGGTAAACAACCTGCTTCCCTATTTACAGGTGAAACTCGAATAATTAGAATATCATGCAAAGTTCATTTATTTCACTAATGCAACTTAAAAGGTGAAACTAATATATGAGAGAGACTCATTACATGCAAAGCAAGATAGTTCAAGCCGTGATTTGTCATCATTGTGATGATTATGGCTTACAGCTCATGAAAACCCCAAGAACCCCAAATCCACAACCTCAAAAAAGTAGATTATTACATGCAATCAATAAAACAAGGATTGTACATAGAACAATATCGGACCTCTGAAAAGTACAAGCATGCATATGTACTCAGTACTTGGTTTGGGCCCCTTTTGCAGCACTTACTGCAATTACTTTTGCACGATATTCTAATTATTCGAGTTTCACCTGTATAATGGTCTGGCCCTCTAGCAACTTCAGCACAAAATTATAGCTTGCCTACAAACGTCAGGTGGTCATAATAATCTGGCCACTCAGTATATATAATAATCTGGCCACTCAGTGTATATATTTATTGACACCTTTGTGGTCGCCATTAATAGCGAATCATCTAAACTAGAAATAAGGTTCTAAAGGCAACTGATGGATTTTGTGTGTTTTTTTTATTTCTACGCTTTAAGCGAATAAAAGTAATCCAACGTATTGTCCCCGTCACAATTCTCTCCAGTCTATGTTTGCAACATAAGTACATGTTAGCATAGTTTCGCCTTTGATCTCTTCTCTCCCCTTCCCCTGTCATTCTACGCACCGCCCTCGCTACCTGGTGACTCCCTTCTACTTCTGTCATTTCCTGATTTCATAGGCTTTGCTGGTTTCTGACGCTGGGATGCAGAGAGTATCAGGGAGGGGCCTTCACCAGAGAGCGAGGGGAAGGAGAGGGGGGACATACACAGGAGACTAGGCAGGAAGGAGAAGAGGGAACAGGCGGACGCACATTGCTGGTATCTAAACTTTAAACTCTGCTACCACCCTTTAGAGTCAAGGAAAGGAAACCCACCCAGGAATATGAAGAATGCCCTTTAAAAGTTCCCTTTAAGGAGCACCGTCGCCCCTCAGACGTTTTTCGTGGCTCGCTGTTGAACGAGTTTTCGGGAAAAATGTGCAAAAGCGCCTTTCCGACTGTACGGTGGAAATAATTTGAACGCTGGGGAAGCCTCGAAAATGAGAGCCCTTTTCCTTGTGGTGAGTAAAGGTTCAGCTCTGCTTGTCACAAATTAGATACTGTTACAGGTGCTACGTGTTAAGTTACATTTACTTTTGTTCCCCTTGATCCCTGTGTGTGTTGTAAAGTAGTCACCGCTCCAAGCTCCCTCCCGGGATGGACTACAATCTCATGTTTAGTTTCCTAATTTGTACTGAGATTGTAGTCCATCCCAGGAGCGAGCTTGGAGCGGTGATTCCTTTACAACACAGACAGGGACCATGGGGAACAAAAGTGGCCCCCCTCCAGAAGGAAGGACAGTGTCAGCACCAATTCAGAGATGATTGGAGGATCTCCAGCCGAGTGATACACAAATTATTATTATCATACAGGATTTATATAGCGCCAACAGTTTGCGCAGAGCTTTACAATATAAATAAGATACATTGTTGTTAATAGTTAAGGTACTTGAATGTATTTTTAAGATTTAACTCCGGAGTTTAATGTCGTCTTAAAAGTATCAGGTGCGAGTAGAACCGTGAGAATCATATGTATGTAAGGGCCCGCACAGCAAAAGGGGGGGCCCCTCTGCCTCTCTAAAGTCCATCTCAAAAGGAATGCCTCCAGTGATTCAGGTCGTTCACGGCATTCACTGAGGTTTCCAAACAAGATAAATGTTGATTTCATTTGACAAACACCGTTGCTGACAGTGTAGATCACTGTACTGTATTGCTGTATTGTTTTGAATTATACAGCGCCAACATTTTGCGCAGCCCTTTACAAAATAAAGGGAGACAGTACAGCTACAAAACAATTCAAGACAAGGGGGTTGGGGGGGGCTGCTCTTGAGATCCTAATTGCAGAGGGGCCACAACAAGTCCTAGCAATCAACTAAAACTCGTAGTTCCCCAGTAACTAGAAGGCGCCGGATTGGCCGCGCTGATTATTGTGATTATTGTGCGCCAGATTGGCAGATTTTAAAACAGTTTCAGGAAATTCCTGAAATAGGATTCATTCCATGCTCCTCCGGAAATATAAAACGTCCGATAAAATAATGTTCCTGCATCATAAACATTATATAAAAGAGTTTCAGGAGAAAAAGAGGAAGTGATATTTTATCATTCCGAAGAACAAAGAACGTCGTTACTTTTTCTTTTATCATCGATGTTCTACAATCTCCCCGTTATTAAACGGAGGGTTTTGGGTGCCCGATAATAAAACAAAGCGGCACAGACAGTAATATTTCCTCGTGTGTGTGTGTCTTTGGTATGGAAATGTTGAGCTGCATGTTGTCGGTATCTGCGGCCGGTTCTTTCTAGCAGTTGTTGCAGAACGAGTTTGCGTTTCCTGGATTAGGAAATCTCTTTTACTGGAAACCCTGAGATGACACGGCCCAGCACAGAGTACAGATTGTGTCACGCCGGGCCACTAACCCCCCCTACTGCCGGCTGGAGCACACGATTTCTAACTCCAGGGCTTATTACACCAATGCTGAGCATTTTTGTCATTTTTTGTGGGTTATTGCACCTTACCGTGCATTGAATCATGACAGATCATTGGGCTGCTGACACTAGGGCTGCCACCATTTCTTCAGGTGAAACCCGAACGATCTAGCATATAGAGGGGAGGCAGCCAGGAGAAAGAGCAAGAAGAGACAGCCAGGGGAGGTTATAAGGAGACCGGCTATAAAGGACAACAAGTTCCAGCAATACCTTATACAGCAATACAAAATAAATATCAAGCGACATATGTGTTGTTCCGGGGTGGCTTCCTGATGTCTACAGGATCTCAGGTGGCCTGTGCGGGCTCTCACCAGGTCTGTCCTGGCTCTCAGGTGGACTCTGCGGACTCTCAGATGAGCTGTGGAGGCTCTCAGGTGGGCTGTGCGGGCTGTTAGGAGGCTGTGCAGGCTCTCAGATGGGCTATGTATACTGTCAGGTGGCTATGTGGGCTATGCAGACTTTGAGGAGTGCTGTGCGGTGTCTCACCAGGGGTCTTGAGGCGGGCAGCGTGGTGTCAGGAAGAAGACGTAGGAGGAGATGTGCAGGCCGGCACCTGTTTACATGTGCCTGTGGCTCGCAGGAAGGCTGTCAAGGTCCCACACTTGCTGGGGACCTCGCAGCCTTCTTGTGAGCCGCGGGAGCGCACATCTCCTCTTCCGTCTTCCTGAAACCTTTAAAAAAATTTAAAGTGTCTGGGTGTCAGCTGGCCTGAAACTCGGACACAGGACTCAAAAACTGGACTGTACAGGTGAATCCTAGACTGGTGGCAACCCTAGCTGACACACCAACACATCATAAGAAATGCGACGCGCAGCAAAATTCGTAAAGCAGCGAGCCCCGGCACACGACGGTGCATTGCCTAATTGCATTGGGGTGTCACTTCTAATGAATGGTGACACAGCAACGTGAACACCTCCATGCACAAGGGTAAACGGGCCCTTAATATGGGGGCAAAAATAACAGATCCCAAATTAGAAAGGACCGGCCCCTGTCCTGGGCTCCGATCCCTCTTTGTTGTGGGAAATGCCCCTGTTTTAGGTGCAGTACATAGATCTGTAGAATGCTGGCTGCACACATTACATGGTCCCCATCTGTGCATTGTAATGCACTACACGGCACGTGCGTTGGAGTATGTGTGAAAAATGCCACTGAAAATGTGGTATAGTGTATGTCAGGGATAGCCAACTCCGGCACTCCAGCTGTGCTTTAACTACAAATCCCAACATGCCTCTGCCTCTGGGAGTCATGCCTGTGACTGTCAGAGTCTTGCAATGCCTCATGGGAGTTGTAGTTCCACAACAGGTGGAGGGCAGGAGTTGCCCACCCCGGATGCATCTATTTTTTTTTTTTGTTTGGCATCATGGAGTACACTATATGGAACATTTTTGGTGACTCCGTTGCAAAGTTTAGTACCTGAAGATCCTGCTAGTAAAAGCACTTCCTGTTGCAGGCTGACAACGCTAAACCGCTGCCTTGCACATAGCAGCTAGGGTTGCCACCTGTCCAGGATTCACTAGGACAGTCCGGGTTTTGAATGCTGTGTCCGGGTTTCATGGCAGCAGAAACTCGGACACAAGATGTCAGGGAGACAGGGGCAACCAAAATAATAAGGGGGCTACTGGCCCCGCACTGAAAATAGTCTCAACTGTGATATTTAAATATGAATAAGCCAAAACTCATTCTCCAAAAAAAATGTCCGTGCGTCGCTAGAGTTTTTTGGGTTTCGCTTGAAGAAAAGGTGGCAACCCTAATACCGGTAGCAGCAGGGTTGTCAGCAGGGGCATCCCGAGGCCGGATGTCATCTGGAGCAGATACCGGGTGACACCCCTCTGTGACGTCATCGCGCATGTTCGTGACGTCACCACACACATGCACGATTGTGTCATCGCGCATGCGTGGCCATCTTGGTGATACCTGCCGGCGGCCATCTTGATAATGGACGCCGGCAGAGAGAGGAGGGTATGTTCATCCGGTGGGATAAGGTAATCCGCCGGGTCCCCTCCTCTCTCGTGCAGTTGCCAGCCTCTCGGTCCATGACTTTTCAGAGGGGGTGACACCAAAATGACTGTCAGTGCAGTCAGTGCCATGCAGGCTCCTTCAGTTGGCCATTGGGCTTCCTATCTGATAAAACAGACCAACCGGTAACTGAAGCAGCTTACATGTTGCCTGACAACACTGCTGGTAATTGCTAGGCAACAGGAAGTGCCGTTACTGGCAGGATCTCCGGAAAGTTTAAGACAACTGTATACAGTGAATTATACTGAAAAATATATTTGGGGTTTACATACACCCTGGGCAAGCAAAGAAAAAAAAACTTTTTATTGGGGCTACCCTGGCACTGTAAGGGTTAAGTGCTCATTTTTGTCTAGGGACTGGAGCAGATTTACTTTCCTGATCCCCGCCGATCAGCGTTCACCTCCCTCCCCTCCGCAATGGCGCGCAGCCGACGGTGGAGCAAGTGCATGTAGACAGGATGTGGCTGAAAGAGGCTGCAGTAGATCCGCAGCACTAAGATGGAGGGAACTGTGTTTGTTGGGGTAAAAACTTGGCAATTGTTTATGATACGCAGCACCTCAGCAGCCTAATTGTCATCCAGTTAAGGATTATGTCTACTTTACTGCAGCCGCTTGTTTCCTCTGGCTTAGGCGGTGATTGGCCGTGGTGAATGTGCAGTGAATCAATCACTGCCTGTTCTATGGTCAGGATTGCGATCTTTGCAAGATGGCGGATATATTTAATATCGCAGATTCTAAAGTACAGAGATGTGTCACCGCATCCAATGGCTTGTTACAGCTCTGACCTCAGCGGGTTTGTTGCACGATTTAAATTAGGTGTAAACCCCAAATGAATGGCTTTGAGTTTTCTAAAGCACCGTGTACCGTATACAAATGCCATTATTATCATAAGTAATGCTGATCTCCTGCAGCCTCTTAGCAGCCACTTCCTGTCTGCATTCACTCAGGTGATGGTTGCATGCAGTGGCGAACCTAAGGAATAAAGAGCCCTGGTGCAAGATTTTATTTTGGGAACCCCCTCCCAAGAGTGGGGGGGGGGTGGGAGCGGACCACTGGTCCCCCAACTCCCCAGGTGGTCTCTGCACCAGAGGAGCTTACACTCTAATGTCCCCCCCACAGTCACATCAGTCTCTGTACAGAGGAGCTTACACTCTAATGTCCCCACACAGTCTCACACTATTATTATACATTTATATAGCTCTGACATATACCACAGAGCTGTACAGAGAACACTGAGCCAGTCACATCAGTCTCTGTAAAGAGGAGCTTACACTCTAATGTAGAATGACACCGGCTGTAGGGGGACTACAAATCCCAGCAATACATTATACAGCAATGCAGAACCGTATATGAATTGGACTCTGGACATAGCAATACATGTACTCTGAGCTTAGCAACGCACTGGACTCTGGACTTAGCAACGCACTGGACTCTGGACTTAGTAACGCACTGGAATCTGGACATAGGAACGCACTTATCTCTGGACTTAGCAATGTACTGGACTCTGGACTTAGCAATACACTG